CTAGTTAACACTTTAAATAAAAGGGGAAATAGCAAAAAGATTTAGAGCCTAAACGAGCAGATGAAAGTGTTCTAAGTTGCCTTCCATCTGATATTACTCAAATGCAACTCTGTCTCCAATTACCTGGGAATATGTGGTATTCCCTCATGAAAGCTCAAGATCAGAAAGGGTGTCGGTTCCGTGCCTCTGCTTACTCACAGTCATTTGGAACAAGTTCAGCAGAAATATTTAACATTGCAAAAGAGTCTGGAGCCAGACAAATGACTACAGACGCTAATCACTGGGTCAAAGTAGTAACTTAGTAGGACAGCAACCCCCAGAAAATATTCGTGGAGGCAGAGACTTGGGGGAGGAAGTATTAGTGCTGTTGGACAAGCCATTGCTAAATGCCAAAGTGCTAAACAGAATCGTTAAAATACTGTTTTTAACCAGCTGCCTGTTTAGGGCTGTCGGTCCTCCATGCCAATGGTCTCTTTGGTAGGATTGGACCTGGAAAGGTAATCTTAGGCCCTAGCCCTAAAATAAACAAAAAGAAAGGGAAAAAATAAACCCTAACCAAATAAATAAATAAAGGCTGCCTCCTAAGAGGTTCAGTGTTTCTTTTATTATATGGTTTCAACCACAGGATTCCTCTGGCTCCAATTGCAGACCTCTAGCTCTTGAGATGTGAGAGGCAGAGCAGAGCCGTCATTATGGCAGCTGTAATATTCGGATTAATATTTCAGACCCAGTTTGTCCCTGAAGTGTAGCCTCTCGGAAGGTCTACTTATTTCTACAATTTTAGATTTTATGTCTATTACAGTAAGGTACTGATGGTATTCTCCTGAGATGGTTTCACAGTACAAACTATGTTTTACTGCACCTTCTCTTAAAGCTACATTCCCCCTCCTTCCCTCTAGTAACAATAAAGTATCATCACTTTATTTCACCATCTTGATCCTCATTTTCTTCACTTCAAACTCTTTCCAATACATTCATCTCAGAACAATTTTCTGGTAGTGGATCTCAAACATCAAGATATGAATAGTTACCCATAGTATAAAAAAGGTATGCTTTAGAGAACTATTGCAAATTTAAAAAAAAATAATTTTATCTGTCAGATTTCATTTTTCCCTAAGTTTACAAAAAACACTGTCTTCTCCCTTACAGCAATTTCACTTATGTGCCTTAAAAAAAATGCAGGAGGCTGAGAAACTGTTAGCCTTTGCTTACACCATAAGCACTGAGAGTTCTCCATCATAGGCCTATGAAAACAATAACACACACAAATTAAGAAGAAATAAAAAGAAAGAAAAAATATTAAATATATTTTAGAGTTATTCATTGATTTTGTAAGAAAGGTCTTTGAGTATACTCTGATATTTCTTGGCCCATGACTTCTTTATGTTGTCTTAAGGAGGCAACCTTATTTACTATATATTATATATTATTATATATAAGCCTCATTCTGTATATGGATTTATCTATAGAAGCATTAAGAGCAGGATATTTTATGCTCCTAAAATGGGAAACTTTTTGCATTTTGAAAGAAACATATACCAGTCCTTTAGTACAGTCATGGTAATGTGGCAAAGAGAGGAAAGTCAGGAAGATTATTACTATTCAACAGGTGTTTATTCATTATTTAATCAGATGACTCAATGAAAAAGAAATTATTACCTTGTTTTAATGATAAAAGTTACTAAATTAAAAGTGATTATCAAAGTTATTAAAATCTGACATACTTGGTGGCCGATCTAGAATTCATACCCAGGTGTGCCTGACTAAATCTCACGTGCTATGAAGAATGGGGACGTTAATCTTAATCGAAGTAGAAAGTTGGAATCTTTTATATCTTTTCACTTGTATAGCTGGTTTCATATACTTAGTGTAATAAAGTTTTTTGATAACAGATTGTAAATGTGTAGGAAACTGCTGCTCAAAGTAATACTGGCTTTCAAAGCTAGTCACAAAGCCATTAGAAACTAAATGAAATTTTTATATTTTTACATAATTATAGCTTTATATAAATTATATATATATAATTTATAATTATATATAATTAATTAGATCATGTATAGTTTTTATATTCTGAAAAAATAGATCAGGAAATAAAATTATAATAAGATGTACATTGTTTATAGAAAATAATCTTATTTCTGTGTCACCTTCAGCTTTAACTTCAAAAGCTACGCCTATAATACAGATGGCATGCAGCCCGTCAGAGTTTTTACTCAAACTGAAAAGCACTGTAAGATTTTGGTCACTGCGTGCAATTAGCTTGGGTGCTCCCTAAATGAACGGCAGAGGTTTTTGTATTTTAGTTCTGAAAGATATCTTAATTGTCACTAACTTAATTATATTTTATTTTAGGTTGGTAGATTTCATCCTCACTAACTAAAGAAACCAAACCCTGCATTTGTCACTCAGTTAACAACATAACTATGTTTAAAAGAACTGTGACAACAAAATGTTGATGGTGTGTTTATACAAGCAGCATGTTGAAAAATGGTATCTCAGTGTTCCCAGAAAACTGAATTGCACCTCGACTTTTCGGGAAGTTTTTATTTCTAAGATGGGCATACAAAGAAAAATCTGTTCAGTTCATTGAATTGTTGACTCTACATCAAGGGTTGAAATGTGTACACTCTAATGTGCCGTCTTTGATCTCTCATTTGACTGTTTATCAAAGCTGATTACAGTTTGAATACACAAATCCTCTTCCTTAGCTTCAAAATCACATAAAAATAATGGATGATAGAGCATTTAAAAGTATTCCCTGCTATTCCAGTTTGATTTTATGATTGTAATATGGCTATCGAGTTTGTGAAGAGGGTCTGTTTTTATGTTAGGTTTCTTTGGTAAGAATCAATCTTCTGCCACATTGGATTAAAGTGTTTTCTTCAGGCAGACTTGTTCATGCAGTGAAGCAAGAGCTGTTTTATACACATCAAAAGGAATCATTATGAGCAAATGAAACTCACTTCATTCCACTCACCACAATTTAGGGGCTTATGCTTTTGAAAAGCGTAAGTATGTGCTTTCTTCATCTGCATGTAACAGTTGAAACAGAATAAAATAGCAACCAACGTATTCAGTTACACATAATTGTGTATTATATCACTTTAAAAATTTCAAGAGTGGGAAGTCCACCATTTTCAAAGAACATTTATGTAGTCCCTGCTAATTATTTGAGGTACTATGCTAAACATTTTGTATATGTTAATAGATTAATTTATTTGCCTAAGATTACATAGCTAATTTTAGTGGCAGAATCAGGAATAGAACACAGATCTTTGGCATCGCATTCTAGTGTGTTTTAAGTTTCATAAATCATTTACTTGATTCTCCTAAAATAGTCCAGAAATTGTTTTCCAATCTCAGTCTTAATCTCTGTATTTTTACAAAAGAAAAGTTAAAAAAAAAAGAAAAATACACAGGAGGACAGTTGGAAGATGAAACTTCCTGAAAATGGTGCATATCGTGTGCTTTTCTGTTTTCCCCTCAACAAACTTCACGTGGTTCTAGAATTGCTTCTGGAAGCAAACCATTTTTATGCTAGGCAGCCCAGAGCATACTTTATAAGACAATGTGTTCATGTTGGAGTCTTTTCAAAGTAAAATCATAGAACATTTATTCCATTTTTTAATATGGCTAATGATTGACCTGTAAGTTCATGTAAACAATCTAAAATACAAAAAGGGCAAGGGGGGAAAAACCCTCTGCTGCCAGCTGAAATGATCCCTGTGAAATTCTGACAATTCTGGCAAAGAGTGGAAGCATGACACTTGATTATGGCTTTTCAGATACTATACAGAACTTCGAGCAAGCACTGTCTTGAGGTTGTAAAACATTAACCAGCCCAAGCTGGACTATTGTGTTTTAAATAGTGAGAGAGACACTTTGACAATTCCCAAGTGACCATGATTTTGATTTCATGCACCGTTCCAATTTTTTTATCATCAATTTGCCTTGCTCCACTTTGTCTTCTAATTTCTCCAAATGGCCACAAGTGTGACCCAAAGGAGAACAGTTATAAAAAGACAACTTCTTCTTTCACGAGTTCCAAGTTTTTTAAATTGATTTTTAGACTTTTTGTCCTGGAGCTCAGTGATTTTCAAACTGTATGTCACAGACCATCAGTGAAGCATGAAATGAATTTAGTGGGTCCGAACAACTACATTTTGAAATCTAATAGACTAGACTAAAAATATTAGATGGCATTGCATGAGAGAAGAGTATTTTTGAAAATATGTGTCAAACATATATGTCTAGAGTAATACAGAAATTCCTAGAATGCTTACTGGTCCAAAAATGTGAATGTCACTGCCATATGTATTTTATGTGATGAGTACTAATGTTATTTTAAGTAATTTGAAAATAATGATATAATCTCTTTCCCAAATTTGATCTTTGGATTTTTGTTCGCTACCATTCTTTGTTTTTATACAGAAAGATAGCAAATAAATGGGTACACTATCACCTCCCTACTTTTAATTAATAGAAAATGTGAGTGTTTTATCGAAGAAATGATCTCCAGGTCTGTTCAATCGCCATCTGGTATGGACAGCACTAGCAAAGAAGGTCACATACCGTATCTGTTCGGTTTTTCACTTGGTTTTGTACCTTTGCTTGAGAGAGTTATTTTAACTGATTATTGGCATTTACATCTCCTTGACATTCAGTGTAAATATGGAATTTTGTAGTTAGTGTTTTGTTTTCTCAGGCTAATGTGACTGATTTAAAGAATTTGCTTAAAAAATGGAATAACTTAGAATCTAAAAATTTTAATTGGTCATGTAATATATTTTAGGTTTGTCAATAAAAGACTAACTTGATGAAAATTAAATATAATTATTTAATATATCTACTCACAGGTTTAAAATAAACTTCTGGTTGTAGTACATTAGAATTAATAATGCGGTAAAACTATTTCATATTATTTGGCTCATATTTTGCTTGAGATAGTATAACCTATTTTATCATTTATCTCACTTATTTTTCTTTTCTTTCATTTTCAGCTAAAATTGACCAAGAGGCAGAGGAGAACTCACTGACAGAGACTCATAAGTGGTGAGAAATTGATCCAATAACAAAGTGAACAAATAATATAATATCTGTTCTCAGAATAGGCTTATAAAATATCTAGTGTGTTTCACCTCAAGGAACTAGTCATTAGCTCAATTTTATTTTCAAGCGTAAAAGAAAAATAATATAATGCTGTGATTCCACATTAAAGTTCTTAATTTTATTTCTGTGACTCTGGATGATGTATAAATCCGTTAAATACCAGTTATGGCAAGTAGCTTCGCATCTCTCTTTTGAATAAGACTTAGAACTGTGGAAATACAAGCAAAAGGAAGGCAGCAGGAAAAAAAGGCTGTTTCAAGAAAAAAAGGTGAAGGGTTTAATTATAGGAAACTATTGAATTTCCACATTTAAAAGTAGAATCCAGGTAGGAAGCCATGAGCTTCTTCCCTGGTGTATGTTTACTTCCAGAATGGAGACTTACAATCATGGGAGAGCATAGAAAAGCATCTCGGAAATCTCCCTGCTTCCTGACTCAATTTTCTCCTCTTCTCCTTTCTATCTGTATTAATTAGTGTTCGCCAGAAAATAGAACCACAGAGTGTATGTGTGTGTACATACATATATAAATATAAATGTAAATATATGGAGATTGATTATAAGGAATTGGCTCACAGCAGACCAGAAATTCTGGAAGGAGTTGATGTTACAATCCTGAGTCTGAAGGACAGAATTCATTCCCACTCAGGGAGCTGGTCTTTTTTTTTAAGGCCCTCAACAGATTGAAGGAGGTCCATCCACGTTATGGAAGGCAATCTGCTTATCTCAGTGTCTACTGATTTAAATGTTAATCACACCTAAAAAATACCCTCACAACAACATCTAGGCTGGCACTTAACCCAAAACTGGTTACCATAGCCTGGCTGTGTTGACACATTGAATTAACCTTATCTCTCTCTAAAGAAATCTGATAAGCCTTGAGGGAAATTTTTGATTTTAAAGAAGTTCTTTGCCATCACTTTATTAGGCAAGATCCTCTGTAGTCTATGAACAGATATCACATATTTTCATGGTCATTGGCTTAATATAAAATATTCTGCTAGGCAAATTGGTAAACAGAATTAACCAGTTTCTATGGAAAGCAAAACTGAGCTCAAGACTTTCAATAGTAAACAACAGAAATTTCAACAGCTGCATGTAAGCAACAGTTAGTTGCATGAAAGAAATACTGGCTAATGACAAAATTGTCAGTGAAAAAAGCCATCTTTTATAATTAAACAATGAATTCTGAATTCAAAAATCAAAATCAGAATAATGGCTCTTATGAGACATTCCTCAAGGAAAGGAGTCTCTGCACCATTTTTGTAGCAGTATTATATAACCTGGGCAAAAAGTTAGCAGTAATTCTATGCAGGAACCTGGCCTGATGGCCTTTTAAGTCTGAATCCTGCTCCTCATGTGTGATAGCTATGCAATTTTGGGCCAGTACCATAACCCCAGGATAGCAGTACCTACTTTGTAGGTGAGGCTTAAAGTGAGATGATCTTTGCCAGATGCTTAGTACTTAGTAAGTAACCAGTCGATGTTAAGTGCTTTGTTATTTTCACATTATTGTCAGAAATCAGAGATTATAAAATGTTTAGTGGTAGAAGTAGAAACAAGAGTCAAATTTCAGACTCAGGCCATATATTTATTTGTTCATTTCTGTTCCTCACTGTCTCCACTGAATCTGGTATTGGGCAGTAGGGCATGGTAATGAAGCATAGATTTCAGTGCCAAGTCTGTAAATCTGTGCCTGGTCCATTCTGCTGGCACTGTGGCTCCTAGGATTTACCATAACTTTTGAATCTTGTGTCGTTATCTGTGAAATAAGAGGAACAATACTCACATTATAAGTGGGTAGAGATCAGCTCACAATAATTAAGTTAAATGAGTTAAGTATATATAGAACACCTACCTCATAGAGGTTTTTCAGATCCCCATCTCTCTTATTTACCAAAATACTTGAGCTTGGGAGACTGTCTTCCAGAATGAACTCTCGTCCCAACACAGCCAACCACCACTTAACTGGAGAAAAGTCATTTAACATTTCTAGACAACATTCTAAGGGTATCCAGCCAATGGAGAATCATTTATTCAAGAAATCTTGGTAAGAGTGGGAGTCTGGCATTTGAGCCACACCCCATTCTTTCCCATTCTCTTATGGAAACTACTCCAGAAGCTATAATCCAGACATGTGCCCCTCCCAAGTTCCCAGGCTAAGGCTGTCTTTATACCCTGGTCAGCAGACTGCCAGCATCCCTCATGCCTCCAGCTGTCGCTTACTGCAGTTCTTGCTATACCAGCCACATAGAGAAGACAGGAGACCCTTCGTCACCCCGTCCCTCTTGTAGGGTGTACATTCTGCCCCAGGTGTGGCAGATCAAGAATACTGTGCTCCACAGTGGAATATTATTCAGCCATAAGAAGAAAACAAATCCTACCATTTGCAACAACATGGATGGAGCTAGAGTGTATTATGCTCAGTGAAATAAGCCAGGCGGAGAAAGACAAGTACCAAATGATTTCACTCATATGTGGAGTATAAGAACAAAGAAAAACTGAAGGAACAAAACAGCAGAATCACAGAACCCAAGAATGGACTAACAGTTACCAAAGGGAAAGGGACTGGGGAGGATGGATGGGAAGGGAGGGATAAGGGTGGGGAAAAAGAAAGGAGGCCTTACGATTAGCATGTATAATGTGGGGGGGTCATGGGGAGGGCTGTACAACACAGAGAAGACAAGTAGTGATTCTACAGCATCTTACTATGCTGATGGACAGTGACTGTAATGGGGTTTGTGGGGGGGACTTGGTGAAGGGGGAACCCTAGTAAACATAATGTTCTTCATGTAATTGTAGATTAATGATAACAACAAAAAAAGAATACTGCTCCAAAGCTGTCACCCCAGCTAACTAGGGGTGAGGGCCTCACTGGGAAAGGCAAGCCAAGAATACTGGGGGCACCCACTGCAGCTCCTGCTTGTGGGACAAGTGGACTCTGTTGTACCTCCAGCTTTGCCCTGTCTGTAGGGACACAGAGATCCTGCCCAGAGGTCTGCATTTCTGTGTGAGGGGACTGACTTTATTTGGAACAGAGGAGCATTCCATGCCTAAAGACTTTGTCAGAACCAATGGCAGTCTTGGTGGAGATCGGTTAAGAGGGAGAGTTAGCAGAGAGAACCTGGGAAGGAGACAGCAAAGAAGGATGCTTCTGGGCACAAAGTCCGCCCTGGGGGTTGGGAAGGCTATGCAAAGCTGGCCTCACTCAGGAGCAGTCATACTGGGGTGAGGAGCAGACTCAGAAACATCCCCTGAGTTGTGTGTACAGATCCATCAACACATGATGGAAGCCTCCCCGGTACCAGGGTTTTTGGCACAGCCTTCTGCCCACTGCTGACTGAACAACAAGCTTTTCTGACCCAGGGGCAGCTCCTAGGAAGCCAGACTTAAAAGTGAGAGTGTGCACACGCCACGCAGTCTGGGGACTGTGCCTTCTGTCTCACAACCACAGAACCGCTGCAGCAGCACCAGTTGAGTGCACTGCTTCTGGGACCAGGCTTGTGAGCAGGCAGAGACATACCTTTGTGACGTGCTGAGGCCTTTCACCCTGCCAGGCTGGCTGGCTCTTCTCTGGCAGCTGAGAAAATGGCAGATTTGGCCACAATCCTGGGATCTCAGTTCGACTTCCCACTCTGAGACTTGGCCATTTTATAAACCACCTCACTTCCATCCATCAGCAGATCACCAAGTGCTCTCTGTACCTATGTGAACTTTGTGCAGTCTGAAGCTCTGGGCTTTTATAGAATTCCTCTTTGTGCCTGAATTGGCCCAGTATCCCTCTTATCGCCACCACCACCCCCCAAAAAATTGAAAATAATATGTACTGTCACTCAAATATTTGAGTCTCCTCTGCAAGGCCCTGAGAGGAAAGTTGGACATATGCATTTGGACATATATCTTCTCAGTCTTCCATCTCTCCTTCTTCTTTACTTTATTATAAGTTATTATTATGTTCTAGGTATCATATTAAACCAGCTGACATCCATTTTGGAGATGAGATGCCATCTAAGCAAAGTGATTCTCTTTGTTCTGCAGGTTTGAGTACTAGCAGAGCTGACCTTCCTCATTTTTCCCACCTTCCCTCAGCCCTTTAATCTTGAGGCAGGACACACACAGGGAAGTTCAAGTTGTATGAATATGCTAACAACATCCTCATCAAAGGAATTTTCTTGTAAGGATCTGTTTTTATCTCAGTGATATGATTGCAATTCAAGTCATTTTAGTTTTACATATTACATCCTATCCCCAGAGATCCAGGGATAAATTGGTGATAAATGCATGTGCTTTAATTTTTAGAACGAGTTGAGAGTCACTGATGGGTAATCATGATAACTGAGTTGGGCTGTAAATATTTATAAATATTTCTGTATCAAAAAAAGAAGTTTCACAAAGGTTTTGAGGCCAGTTAGCATTGCAGATGCTAATCCAAGTTCCACTGAAAGGAGGCAGATGAGTGGGGTGGATGGGGCCCTGACAGCTACATCCCAGAATTACAGCTGGAAAAACACTTGAATTACCTGGGACTCAGCTTCCTCGTTTGTAAAAAGCCCCTCCCCTCATCCTTCCTTCTGTCTTTGGGGGTTGTAGGACTGCAACATCTTTTTTGTGCATTACGTGGTTTCCTCAAAAGTAGCTAATAAGAGGCCTTACTAGAAAAACCTAGTCATGTGAGAATGTTTGCAACCTACACAAACTCAAGTCATTAGCTTGCTTTGAAAGGATACATATATTCATTTGTCTTTATATTTTAGTACTTAAAGAAAAGGCCTTAGTCAATTTAAAATGGGTAAGTGACCTTTATCAAACACTAACTAGCATTCTTTTCTGTAGTGGGATATTATGTGTTTATGAGTTCATTTTATGATTCCCTAGCTAAATAAAAATATTCAAAAGAAAACAGTGATTAGTATCTTTTTAAAGCAAATCAGATCTTTTTTCATATTCTATTCATTAGCGTGATGATTTTATGGGCTAATTTTGTCTGTTTATTCAAGAATTTTTGCTGTTAATCTGAGAAGTGGGA